GGACCGGCTGCTCCTCCCAGACCCCGCTGCTCCGTGGCGGTGGGAGTGAGTGTGGGAGGAAGGCGTTTGGGCTGGTGGCAACCCTCCACCCCAGCCCCCAGCCACGAAGCCAGCATGTGTTTTGCAGGGCTGGGCTTACCCACCCGGCCTCGAAGGCACCTCGAGCAACTCTCAGGGGATGGCCAGGGGATTTCCACTCTTGGGGCTCTCAATAGCAAGGGAGGGAGACGGCTTTTGTGAGGACCGCTTAGCTCCTGGAGGGACTCCAGTTCTCTTCTATTTTATTAAATGCCAGGGCAGGCAGGTGGATTGTTCTCATTAAGCCGTGATTTATAGGCAAGGCTGCCGTCCAGATTAAATTAGAGCTAAATGAACCCCTTAAAATTAGCCTTGGGCTTCTTCCAATACAAACAGAGCCAGTGGTTTTTCCAGGTCGCCTGCCAGTCAGCGGGAGCGCTCAGCGGCAAGCCTGGGTCCCGGCGGAGGGTGGCCGGGCAGCCGAGCTGGGTCGGAGCCGGCGACACAGCATCCAAGTCCACAGCCGGCTCCGCATCCGAGATCCGAGCACCCCTGCTAGGCCATGCAAGGGGACATCCCTGCCCTGGGCAGGGGGACACCGTAGGGTGGCTGAGGATGCCGTAGGGTGGCAGAGGACATCCCCTTCATGGGGACGTCCCTGCGCTCGGAGCAGTAAGCGGAGGAAGGCTGACGTGTGCGCTTGGGCTGTGCAAGGCTGTGGACACTTGCTTTATTTTCAAACAGGTACGGAAATGAAATCAGGAGCTGGTATTCAAGCAGGTATGGAAATCATGAGCTGACGGTGAACGTGAATTGTCCCCAGCCATTACCACACCCAAGGACCCGGCGTCCTCCTCCTGGCCCGGCAGCTTTCCGGCAGGGCAGGCAGGGGTGTAGGAAAGCTGCAGGGCAGTGACTGGGATGAACTGGGAAGCAGGAGCGGTCGGGTCTCTGCTCTGTCACTGACTCGCTCTGAAAACCAGCCCCGCCAAGAGGGGATAACATTGCGCAGCCATGTCTTAAAGTGCTGCGAAAGGGACCGTTTCAGTGCTATTGCGGGGCAAGAAGGAGAGAAGTAGAAGTGTCCAAGGTCATTGGCGGCCACCAGCTTGTCTCAGCACCCTGGGAGAGTGCTAGCCAGCAGCCAGCGCGGGGCTGAACGGGTGCTGCAGGGTGTGCTGCCCTTGTGCCTTCCTCATCCTCTGCGCCAAGTAGGGTTCACAGGAGAGCACGTAGCCAGCAGACCGCTCCTCATCAGCTCGCCCTGCTCTTGGAGACACAGTTTACCCTCCCAGCCACTGGTCCCTGTCACTGTCCCTTTGCAGTCACCTTTTTTTGCAGCCCAGGAGAGCCCCGGCCACGTTCCCCGCCCCATTCCCCACATGATTCTCCATCATCTTCATCATTCGCCATCACTACCTGCTTCTCCCTCAGCTCTGCATTGCAGATCTCGCTCCCCCAAAGCTGAGAGCCAGCAAGAACTCCCAGGGCCCCCGGGCTCCTGGCTCCTCACCCTTTCGCTCTTTATTCCCCTGGGAGAGCCAAAAAAACCCCGCGAGTTACCACTGTCAGCAGGAGCACTGCCTAGCAGGTGGCCACGGTCTACACAGAGAAGAAAAAATCCCAGTTTCTTCTTGTTGTGGCTCAACTGGGGCATTGGAGGGTGCTGGTTTTAGGATGAGCTCCTTGGTGCAGCTGGGACCAGCTCCAGCATCGGCCACCTGAGCTCCAGCTCAAGGCTGCAGAGCACTCATGGGGCTCCAGCCATGGTCAGCGTTCTCAGCAGCTTTGGTGACCCAGGAGCCACCGCAGCAGTGGCCCAGGCAGAAGATTCATGAGCAAGCCAGCAACTGAAAAGCACCAGCCTAAACCACCAGCCGAATCACAACGAGCTAAGCGGGGGCGACCAAAGGCTCTTCTTCGAGCAAGTGGGAGCAGAAGAGGCTAAACTCAACCAGCACCATTTTTTTATCACCCTGCAGTTCCTAAATTAGGGCTCAGGACCCACGAAGCCCCATGGCCACTGCTGAAGGGTAACAAAGTGGCTTTATAACTCCCCTGCCCCAGCTGGGATTAGAGAGCAATGAAGAAACCCTTTGCTGACTAGACGGGAAAGATGCTGGTGGAATTACGACTCCTCCCAGTCCCACCAGTAAGCAGGCATGCCCTTAGGAAGGCTGAAAGGCACAGGTGGGATCGGTGAGCTCAGGTCCAGGATGAAATTCGTGGTCAACACCAGCTCCACGCCAGTGGACAATGAGAAATGGTTTCCGTATCGCCCAGTCAAGTGTCAGCCATTGGGCGGCCGGGCTCAGCCTCTCAGCTAGGTCACCCATGTGTCCCCATGGCCCCGTGGCCCAGCAGCATTCACGTTCCCCACCCGCGTAGGCAAGGGGGAAGGAGGACCACCTCTCTGCATCCATCTTTTTCCCTAGATTCATCCCAGCCATTTGCAAGGCAGGGGCCCCAAGGAGAAAACACACGTTGGAGGTGTGCAGGAAGGGGGTGAGGACACACTCGCCCAGCTTAGCCAGCCATCCTGGAAAGGGTTACCCCTCTTTTTGCCCACCGTGGGTTCACGAGAGCCTACGGGGTGCTAGAAAGCACAGGAATGGGGACTGATAGATATCTGCTGCTTTTGGGGTGAGGGTCTTCAGGATGTGGTTCCTCATCCCAGCCACCGAAGGCCATTTGTGGTACCCCCAGCTCTGGTGTCCTGCGAGTGGGCGTGCTGCCCGCTGCTGCCTGGCGATAATCCAGGGAGCAGGCACCAACCCAACACTCGCCGGTAAGCAGGAGCTGAGCGTTGAGGGACCGGAGGAAAGGAGCAGGGAGATAACAAGGCTCTTGGGCTGCAAATCTGACCCTCTCGCCGTAAATGCGATCTCATATTCTCCCCTCCCTGCACCTTGCAAGCCGGCTGCCTGGATCCACGCAAATAAATCAGCTTTCCTGGCTGAGCCGCCGGCTGAAATCCCCGCCGGGAACCCAGCGACAAAGTTATTGTAGGCAGAAGGAGGCGAGCGCGTAACCCCGGCTCCGCGGGAAGCTCTGCTCCAGGGCTGCCTCCTGCCCGCACGGGCTATGAACCAGGCAGAGGCTGTGGATGATGGCTCCTGGGTTAATTCAGCCAAGACAGCTGAGCCGCCTGCCCAGCTCCACCCCTCCGTCCCAGCCCTAGCCTTTCTCCCAGCCATTTTTCTTTCTTAATCACACTCACTTCTTTTGCACCTTTCATCCTTTAGAAATATTCATTCACCCACAGGGCGCTGCCGAGAGCCGCTGCTAACCCGCTCTTCTGGCTCCCTCCTCTTCTCTCCCTCCCAGGGGAAACTGAGGCACAGAGAGATCAGGGTTTGCACAAGTTGCTGGCGTCACCCACGCAGGGATGAGGGAGCGGGGAAGGAGGTCCATTTGGCCCCAAAACCCTCCCCAGGGCTCATCGCTGAGCCTCTTTCCAGTAGCCGGGGGTGGGTCCCTGGGGGAAAAGCCCCCTTTCCGACCTTCATCCTGGCTTCATGCTCCCTCTCCTTCCTCTTGCAGAGTCGGTGCCGATGGCAGTGATCATCGGAGTGGCCGTGGGGGCCGGCGTGGCGTTCCTGGTGTTGATGGCCACCATCGTCGCCTTCTGCTGCGCCCGCTCCCAGAGGAGTAAGTGTCTCCCCCGGCCCCGCCGCATCCCTTCGGGCAGGGCTGGGGCTAAAACCTTGCGGGGGTGGGGGGGGAGCAAATAGAATGGGTCACAAAGGAATTTGAGGCTGAATTTACCGACACAGCACCAGCACCATCTGCTCCACTTGTTGGTGTACCAAATGCTCAGCGCCACTCGGCTGCTCACGGCAGCCCTGCGGGGACGGGGAAGGGGTTCGGAGCATGTGGAAAAGCATCCCAGGGTAAACGCTAATCCCAGGGGCAGCTCGCAGGGCGTGCAGGGGTGTCCTGGGGGCAAAGGGATTGCAAAGGGACCTGCTCTTAACCCTTCCCTTGGAGAAATCCTGATGTCCAAGAGGGGAAGCGTCCTCGCCATGTCATGTCGCTGCTCAAAACCCCTCCTCGATTTGTGCTCTCTGTTCTGCTTCTGGTTCAATTCCATTTTTCTCATCATAAAACGCGTATTTCCTAGTGGAAAATTACAGCCAGCTGAGGGGTTTTGCACGGGACGTGTGGGTTTTGAAGCCAGGCTGCGGTGGGAATACAAGTTAAACCGCCATTAGAGACGCAGGTAGAGGAGAAGGAGGGGTAAACAGTGTGGCATCGTGTTGCCTCATTAAGAAGACACCGGGAAATTAAAGGAGGAGGATCCTTGGCTAAATGAAAAGGCATCAAACCACCAGGGAGAAGAGCGTGATTGTCTGGAACATCTCAGGCCACGGGGGAGAAGAGGAGACACTCGACGGCGCTCCCAGCTTGGGAGACGTGTGGTACGGATGCCGGGATGCCAAGCTCTCTCTGTGTGTGTGCCAGAAAACCCAGTTGTTTTCTTTTTATTTCCCCCCTCTTGATCATTTGCAAAGCAATCAAAGACACCAGGCTCCGCTTGGATTTGGATATGAATGCATGGCCTCCCGCGGCAGAAATGTGTTTAATTTTAAGAGCAATAATGATGCCTCTCCCTGGTTTTTTTGAACTCTTGCGGCCTCCATTAGCAAGTATTAACAAATTAAATGGCGGGGCGGTCATTAGCCTTGCTTTTGGGGGGGCACTGCTGGTGGACAGGACCCAAGAGTAGGCCAGTTCAATGTTGCAGAGATCGTTCAGCAAGGATGGACGATTCGAGCGCCTGAAGAAGGCAGGGCCAAGCCGTGTTAGCGTGTCAATGGCTGGATGTCATCGGCCGTGCTTTCCCCCCGCCGCGTCATTCGGAGCAGGGGAGAGCATGTGGTTCATTATCTTCCTCTTAGTTGATGTAACCAGATGGCGCGGGGTTCGTTACAGGACCTGCAATTTGCCACTAATGCCATGACAACAGAGCAAAGACGTGGTGCGAGTGCCAGGTTTTAGAGTCCCCCACAAGCTGGAAGCGTGCAAGGATGGGCAGGTCTTGTCCTTCCTGGAGGGGACAACCCCATCCCACCCAAATCACCTTGCGTGATTCACCCCTTGGATTCCCCGTGGTAAATCAGGAAGAAGGGGCATTTTCCTCGCCAGGGCTAGGAGGATGTGTACTGGGAAGAGGGTACTGGGGACGTGGTGGCACGGCACTCTTTGAAGTCCCTTTCCTCCGCTGTGCTTCCAGTGCTGTCCCACTCAGAAAGGACTTTTTGGTCTCCGATACGCAACGAGCTGCTGGATCTGGGCATCTTCCCAGCGTGCTCGCTGCACCACTGCTCTTCTTCAGCTCCTCCTGCAGTGGAAGGCACCAGTTGCCAAGCCCTGGGGAGAGGGCTACAGCATCCCCAGATGTCCGGGGGGGGACGCGTCCCTGTGCTTCCCACAAGGCTTATTTGGTACTTCGCTTTGGGATCGGAGCAAGCGAGCAGGAAGAGATCATCCAAGAGATCAGCAAAGATCCCTGCCCTCGTCTCCCTTCCCTTCCCAAAGTGAAAGAGGAGGAGGAACAGCTCAACCTTTTTTGGAGAGCTGGACCCAACTGGGATGCCAGCTCAGTAACAGAAGCTTTGCCGGGTGCTCGCCGGGGCTGCCGCTTGAGAGGAGCGGGGATGCTATGGTGCTAACGAAGCGAATCCTGGGTGCAGGTGGGGTTCCCCAGCCTGAGATCCATGCAGGGAGCAGGGGGTGCTGCTTGGTCCCCCACCACGTGGCTCCAAAAGCCACTTGGAGCTGTGAAAACAGGGTCCCTCCTTGGTTTTCGGGGGAGCTGGGCACATCAGCAGCTAAAACAGCCCCCGAGCGACCCTCAGGGTGCAAAACCCTGCAGGAGAGGGCCTGGCTGTCCCGGGGTGAAGGGCTTCTATCCCAGTTTTGCAGGTGCTAATGCAAACTGGATGCTGTGGCCGCTATCTCCAGGGGCAGGCGGGTGTTAGGGAGGTAGAAACACTGGGCTGAGAAGGCGAGGAAAGGACTTCTCATCACGCTTAGTGGTGTGAAATCAGCAGGGGTATTAGAGAGAGCAGCTCGGGAGCGATGGGACCAGCGGAGCACTTTGATATCAGGAGAAGGGCTCATTCCCTACCATGATGATTTCGGATTCCTCTCCCAGGACAAATACCGGCACGTTGTTGCATCGTTTAAACCAACAACCTGCAAACGAAACCCGTCGGCGGGCTGCGGGGACGGCTCCCGGCGGAGGGGACAAGGTGACCCGGCAGTGACTCTGGAGAAGGCATCTCCTGACGGCTGCAACCGGCTGCCGACCGCAATGAATGGCACCGGGGGGGCAATTCCTGGCCTTGCTTTGGGGAGATGCAGCAAAATAAATGCACCGGGTGCAGACAACGCCGAGCCTGGAGGCTCTGGAAAAGCAAAAAAAAAAAGACTTTACTGCACATCTGTTGTTGTATCTTTGGTGACTTAACGGCCCAGAGTTATTTAAGGGGGAGCACTCCTGGGAGAGGATGTGCAAGACAGTAATTAGCTTCTCCTTGTGATTAAAGACGGAGGCTCTGCCACCAGGAACGTCATCCCAGCAAGAAAAAAAAAAAAAAAAAGCACAGGAGCAGCTTCCCAGCGAAACCCTTTGCCTTGCACCCCGAGACTTGGAGGGGTCCGTGGGTGACAGCAGGGCTGCAGCTATCGAGGGCAGGGGATGCCAAGATGGATTAATTCAAGGCTGGAGCTTCAAGATTTTAGACTGGATATAAGGAAGAAACAAGGCTAGTAAAACACTGGAACAGGTTGCCCAGAGAGGGGGTGGAGGCCCCATCCCTGGGAACATTCCAGGCCAGGTTGGACGGGGCTGTGAGCAACCTGATGTGGTTCAAGGTGTCCCTGCTCCTGCAGGGGGGTTGGGCTGGGTGACCTCTAGGGGTCCCTTCCAACCCAAAACATTCCATGATTCTATGATTTTAAGCCGGTCTCGTGATTCGGTTTGGTTTACAGATAAAGCCACCCGCTCCTGCGTGGTCCAGCCCTTGCTGGACTGTTGGTGCGGTTCCTTGGCTGGAGGCAGATCTGAAGAGCCCAGCGGCTGAAGGCCATTCTGGGTGCGGGAGGGTTGGCGCAGCCGTCCCAGGAGGTGGGAGCCAGATCGGGGGCTGAAGCCCGGCTTCAAAGCTGGGAGCTGTTTAGATCTCGCTGGTCAGATTTGCATCCATCGCTGCTTTTCATCGCAGATTCACCTGGCCATTTCTGCTCCTGCTGCTCGGTGTCTTTGGTTTCATTTTGCTAAAACGACTTCTTCAAAGCACGCCTGACACCTTCAGGGAAGGCAGAGACTCTCTCCAGAAATATTTCTCCCTGCTCTGTGTGAAAGCAGCAGCCAGGGATGATTTCTGTCATTCCCAAAGCCCTGGTTACGTCTTTGTTTGCTGCTTGGCCTTTTCCACACGTATCTGCACCCCAAACCCGGGGAAGGCTTTTCTCAGGGGCTTCCCAGTGGCAGGGAAGAGCTGGCACCTCCCTCAGGAGCAGTATTCCATCTTTTGAGCCCAGCCCCTGTTAACAGCACCCTGAGCGTGGCAGAGACTAACCGAGCTCCCGAAGGAATTAAAATAGGAACCTCAGCTCCCTGGAGGTGAAGGTTTTGCCCATGTCTTACAGCAATGCAAACATTGCCCCCCGCCCCACTCTCAGATGCACTTGGTGAGCCAGGGTTCATTTTCCGCAGTGCTGCCGGATGTCCTTGGCAATCGGTCGGGTCCCCAAGGATGCTCCGCGATGGCCTTGGCCTCACCCCTTCTCCATCTCACTCTTTGCCCAGATCTGAAAGGTGTGGTCTCTGCCAAGAACGATATCCGCGTGGAGATCGTGCACAAGGAGCCGGCCTCGGGCAGGGAGACGGAGGAGCACCCGACCATCAAGCAGCTGATGGTAAGGATTTACTTCTTCTCCCCGTAAGCAATTACCCTGGGTAAGAGTTTGATGCTGATGAGCCCAGGCACATGTAGCTCAGTGCCGTAATCCCCACTCACAGCAAAGCTCCTCTTCCAAAAAACCTCGCTCTTGAGATACGCATTCTCCTGCCATAAAAGCTCCTCGAGTGAAACTTTGCTAATGAGGAGGGAGAGCTGGGAGAGGTTTATTGCAGTAGCCCCGCTGCCCGCAGGGCTAATTGCAAAGCAAATTTGCCACCTCGCGTGGGGAAAGAGCTGCAGACCGCAAGTAGACGCGAAATAGGTGAGCACAATATAATAATGAGTTAATTAGCCAGCGAGCACCGCGCTCTCCTGGACGCAATTTACAGTTACACGTGCAAAAATAACGTCTGTGCCCGCGGTTGGGTGCAGATTGCTAACGCCGGGGGTGGGGGGGCCAGCCTGGGGCTGGCTCTGTAAGAACCGGGGAGGCGTCGCCTTCCCAAGGGCGCTGCCTGTGCCCAACGGGACCCAATGACGCAGGCGGGGCCAGGCACCGACGATTGAGATCCCAGGACATCCAGCTTCAGCCCCGGCACCTCCTTGCTCCTCTCGCCTGGAGTCAAAGCTCTTCGCTGCGTCTCGGCCCCCGTTTGCTTTGTCTGACCGGTGCCACGTCGTTGGTGACAAACAGAAGCCAAACAAAAGGCAAAGAAAGGCGAGTGGCCATGAAAGAAAAGAGCAGATAGGAGGGGGGGAAGGGATTGAAGAGGCTGGAGGCTGCTTTCTAGGCTGCTGGGTGGCTTTTTCCTGCTCGAACCCCCCCGTTTTTGGGCAGCACTTGCATGCCCTGCCTGCAAAAGCTGTTTGATGAATTCCCAGGGGGGAAGGCAAGGCTGAGGACCATGGGGCGGGCAAAACCGATGTCTGATGGTGCACGTGGACAGCAAGGGAGCCTCAAAATGAGAAGGCAGGAGGATCTGGCGTCTTATCCCAGCACTGCTGAGGTTTCTGTGCAAGACCCTTCGTTCCCAGTAGGGCTTTGCCCCGAGGAGTCTGCAAATCCACGGCGGGACTTGCAAGGCTTCACTTGGTGGAAGGACAGAGGAGGCTGCAACTTGGGTTTGGAGCAATCTGCTGAGATGAAGGGGAATGAGGACCTTCCTCTCCATAGGACCCTGTGCCACCATCTGTATAGGCAGCGATCAACAGCACCAAGCCCAGGTCTGGCTGCCAAAGGAAGGGCTGAGATCAGCCCAGACGCTGCTCAAGACCTCAGCCCCCAGGCTGGAAGCACGAAGCCTCAGCAGAGAAGCTGTACGAGGAACGTTTGCCACCGACGAGTAAATGAGGAAGAGGATGAGCATGGGAGGCCAGGCACAGGACCCCGCAAGGCATCGGGGCGGGGGGAATTGCCTTGATTATTCACCAGGAGGTGATTTCCCATCCACACATGTCCTCGATGGGGCTGGTCCCGGAGCAGCACAGGGCTGTGCCATGCACATTTCGATAAAGAAGCTGGCAGGATGGAACCAGTGTGGAAAAAAAATGACAATAAATGACATTTATTTGCTAGCCAGGAAAAAAAACGCCTTATGGGGAGAAGTTTACAGAGCTCGTGCGTTTTAGCTCATCAGCAAGACTTCTGAGAGGTGCCTCGGCCCCAGGACGGTGTAAAGGGGCTGTTTAAGTGCCAACAGGGTGGGCAAAGTCGAGCGCTTTTGGGTATAACATGACAGAGCGTAACAGCCTGGTGACTCCCTCCCTCTCCTGGCCAAATCCAGGCACTTTTCCTAAAGATACATCAGTTGGAAATAACGTCGTTGGCTCAACGCTGTTCAGGAGGTTGGAAGAGGTGGTCTGTAGTCTCTGACCCTGATGTTGGGCAGATTTGGTTGGGACATCAAAGCCCCTTCCCCTGCCCGGACCAGAGCCTCCCCATCCTCATCTGCCCTCAGCAAGAGCATTCCCAGCAGATACCTCCCCGTTCCTTCCCTCCCAGAGCCCCTAAGGACCCCCGCCCACCCTCATCCCGCTCCCTGCTGTTCCCAACAGCCCGTGTGAGTGTCCTCCTCCGGCCATTAGAGACCCAGATTCCTAATGAGAGGCTTTGAGTTTGCCAATGAAATGGTGGAGCAAGTTAAAAAAAATTCACCCTTGCTCGGGAGCAGCGATGAGACCTCCCCAGCAGGAGCAGGGGGCACCACACAGCACCCCTCGCTTGGTCCCTACCCTCACCCCAAGGCTTCCATGCTCTCCCTCCGCCCCGTACCAGCATTATTTCCCCCGCCGCTTCTTCAGTCGCCTTCCCTAAACTTCTTGTGATGTTCCCAGCCTGGGTTCAACCTCACCAGCGTCCTTTGAAATGATCTCCTCGCCCTCAACAACGTTCGTAACACCTTGCTGTTTAATATCAACTGCGAATTTCATTAACGCGCCGGGTGCTCGCGCGGCGAGACCATTAATGCAGATGTTAACAAAACGCAGGCCACGCTCGCAGGCAGCTCCGCACCTCGCTGCGTCACAGCAGCCGTTTCGCTCCCCATCCCACACCCTTGGCCAAGCGCTTGAGGTCTGGCCCGGCCCGACCTGCTCCTGCCAGGTTTCGGGAGCGGAGAGCCACCCTCTGCACCATGGATGGTGCCCTCGCTCCTCGCTTTCCCCGCGGCGCCTCTGCCTTGCCGGAGCCTTGCCGGCACGACTCTTCTTCCCCCCGCTCAACGCAATCGCATTTGTTATTCTCCAGCCATCTGTGACCTCCGCAGCTCTCCGTGCTTTTCACAAATAATTATTCATGCATCTATAAATTCATTAACACCTTAGGAGACACGTCACGCTGGCTGATTTGCATATGTTCACATTGTCTCAGCGCCGTCTCCCCGAGTGGCTGATACGCCAGAAGGCTGCGCTGCCATTCAGCGGGACCTGGCCAGGCTGGAGAGTTGGGCGGAGAGGAACCTGATGGAGTTCAACATGGGCAAGTGTTAAGTGCTGCACCTGGGGAAGTCGAACCCCATGCACCAGTACAGGCTGGGGGCGT